GGTCCCCTCCTTTGCCCCCTCCTCTGGGCTCCTGGCTCTTTCTGCAGCCTTTCTACTGCTACTCCTTAGCTCCTTTTTACTGCCGTCTTTCAGCCACACCCCTGATCTTCTGGTAGGAAAGATCTCCCACCTAGCCTTCTCGGACAAGGGTGAAAAATCTCAGAGTTCCCATGAGCAAGTTGAATACGTTAAAGATCCCTTAGTGGTCTAAAATCGATAAGAGTAGGCTTCGGCCTTCAAAATTTCCTACAGACTGAAAAATGTTTAACTCTTTCCAGACGTATCACGGATATATCAGCGCGAGTCCACACCCCTGCCGTACGTATTGCCGATATCGGAAAAGATGGGGTGCCTCACTTTTGTTTCGTTCTAACATGATCTGTCATTCATAAGATAGCAATGCCAATGAAAATTTAATTTTTCCCTTTAGGCCTTTTCTATTTGTTACCTAAGAAATAATTTTCTATTCTAAGAGAATTGGTTCATAAATAAAAAAGTTATTGGGTTGTAAAGGTTGGCAAAATATGGATGACCCACATATAGGAAAATACTTCTAAACAGAGGACCACGCATTAGCAGATTCTGTAAAACAATCGACGATATCTCAGTAATTAACTGGAGTGTAAGAAAGAAACTTGGCAACCCGAAGTGTATTTGGGTGGAGAAATCATTTCTGTCGTCAGAATTTACAAACCATTTCGTAGTTATTTTGTTATAATTAAAATTTTGGTGTACATATTACGATTTTGCGAAAAAGGGGTGTCGGGATGAGAACATTTAGTAGCAAGAACCATGGAAAAAAATTTTTTTGCTTTAAAGCCAACAAAACAATGTGCATATGATAGCCTTATCTCTGCTGAGTAACACAGTTTTTTAATTTTGACAATTCGTTCATAAATTTAAAAAAGATGATTTTTTAAAGGAATTTTTTTGGGGGGTGACTCTCATATAAGGAAAAAATCCCAAAACACGGTCCACATTTTTGGGTGTTTTGAGGCATTTTTTATTTAAAATTCCGTAGTAAACGGAATACATGAATGAAACTTGGCAGCCTTTTGTAGTTTTTCCTGCAGAACCTATGTATATCTATAAAGATATTTGATGTATCTGCAGTAGTTTTCAAAATATCAGGGGAAATGTGTACAAAAATTTATAGAAATTTTAGGCCAAGGACTTGGGGCAAACATTCAAACTCCTGCTACTTTTTATTTTTATTTTTACATATCTACGAAACTTGGCTATCTTTTGTATTTTTTCCTGCAGATTCCAAATCTGCTGTTATTTTTTGTTTGTTTGAAAGGCTCTTTTATCACTGTGAGCGAAAATGTTGAAAAGGTACCCTGGGTATGTTACTAAAATGGGATATCCATTAACTTTTCTTGCAATATTTTTTGTATAATTGTATAACATAACATACCAGGTGTGCTCTGTGTAACAGAAGATAAGAGAAAGTGTACTGACCATGTTGGGTTTATTTTAATTTTTTAAAATTTTGCTTGAACCTCCTTAGCATTTGAAATACACACAGAACGTGGTTATGGCTCCAGCTCGGTGTCCACAACGCTTTTTCTTGCAGAAGTTTACCAATCTCCGTACTGGTACAAAATTGATAGAAAATACTAGTAATAATACATAAAAAAGACCCCTCAGTCACCAATTCTTTAGATTTAATCTATATTTTGTTCCTTGCTAACGAGAAAGCAATTCTATGAATTTATGTAAGCTACTATACTATGTAGTATTATAATTCCTGTTCCTTGGCACGAAAACTGACGAGTCCACGTAGATCTAGGTCGGGGGAATAACAGGATCGAGAGAACCGTCAATATCGATCGATAACACAAGAATATGATCTCTCCTCCCCAATTTTTTTGTATGCAGAAAGTCTTTTTATCATATCCAAAGCGAATAAATTTCATGCAGGCATAAAGATAAAGCCTAAAAAGTGCTTTTTAGCTTTTGGAAAGCCGAACTGGTGAACATGGTTTCCCCGTCTCTCTCGCGCAGTAGACTTTCCCCGACCTGTTTCTTTATGACGTCATGGAATTTTTCACTCGTCGCCGGCTAGCCCAACCTACTCAGTGGAATGCCCGAATGCAGTCGAATTTGGGTGGTGTTTTGCAATGGTACGCAAAAAGTATGCCACATACATTAATGAAATTTGAAGACAATAAAGGAAAAAGGTTGTGAAAAAGAAATCCAAAATTCCACCAAATCTGGTGTAGCCGAGTGCTCAAACTTTGGACACAAACAGCACCATAACCAAATAACCTACGTGTTTTCTTTTTCGCATGTGACTAGTTTGACCTCTTTTCTCATTGGCTGCCAAGTTTCGCTTTCATTCTTTGAGAAACAAGCCCGTACGAGTGAATGAAAATAGGGCACCGTGAGAAAACGGGTCCTGTAAAACAAGCCCGCAGCGCCTAGATGGGAGTCCCCGATTTCGGTCACACTCATCGGCACTGCGTGGGCCTTGCTACATTTTATTTATAGCATCGTATTACAACATGGGATCTTTAAGAATATGTTGGCAGCGTGACTAAATAATGGCAAACCTTTCTTTGATAACTTTAGACCATGCCAACCTTAAAAATAAGTTAATTCAATCTATCATGCCGTACAATAAAAAATTATTTTCTCCTGTTCAGACACAAACACCCCGAGGTGAGATAAGCTCGCCTCGGAACACCCCCATTGCGATGTTACAGGGGAACAGAGAGATAAACAACCCGATGTGCGCGCCCGCCATTGCCCTATAAAATAGTAAAATAGATTTAGAGTGACCAATGATCATTGGTCACATACATTTGCCGCGAGAGTGAGGGGAAAATGGCCGGTCTCCGTGTGATGCCGCTTAGGATAGGGGGGTAGTCGTGCATTTATGATCGGGTCTAAACAACTACTTGACACAAAACGTTCAAATTTGAGCACACTATAGAGGAAAGATAGATCTCTTCCCTTCTTGACGTTGAAATTCAAGCTCCTTATAAATAGTTTTCGGTACACCCGATACAAAAGTGTTCCAGACATCAAAAGTATAATTTAAGAGTACGAACTTCAACGTCCCCATATCATTAGTTTGCCCTATTTTCTCATTGGTTGCTGAGTTTCATTCACATTGGTAAAGAAAGAGAGCAGACCCAGGTTGAAAAAGTTAGTCACCTATGCTACGACCCGGTCCAAAAATTCACCCGCAAACGGAGACTAAATTTTCGCTGAGCGGGAAAGCCTGATTGGCATTGCTATGTAAGAACTTATCATTGTTATTGAAAACTTAGAAAGGGTTTATGAAATGAAAACATCTAGTTTCACTTTGTCAAAGCGTCCGTTTGGCGAAAAACGGGTGAATTAATTCTTGCGGTCTTGCATCAACAAAACGATGTAATTGAACCCAGTAGAAATATCATAACTGAAACAAAATTTGGAATATTGCTTTCAAATAAAAAGCTGCGCATTCAGAAAGTCATGGATTATGCTCTCGGCCAGTATATGATAAGCTATACATTGATTTGCTTTCACTTGTTGGGTGAGTGTAATTTTTTCCATCAAAATTTATTTTTCTAATCACTCTTTCCCATTCTTACCCTTGTAAAGAATGCTTATGTTCAAAATTAATCTTTGTTTCATGTTGGAATGTATTCCTCATTCAATTTCATTCAAAATCAATTTGATATATATAAATATCATATTTCACCTAAAGTGATGGTTATGCTTATGAAGTTATTTTGTGCTCCACCTGTGTAGCCAAATCGAGCCACAAGTTAATTATGTCTGGACCCCAAAAAAACTACGTCCCGAAAGAGTTAATGTGTTCTCCGCACTCATATGACCTTATGCAGTTGTGAGCGCCATAAAACACTTTTTACCAAAAAAAAAAAAAAAAAAAGAAGTTGACCACAAATCGGGCACTTTCCCCATCTTTCAATATCAATGTTACATTCTTACACAACCTACCAAAAGAAAGGTAAAATGGGTATTTTTGTAGAACCACTCCCGTTTGGCGTCACATCCACTATCGAAAGTCAGCTCCTTCACCACTTTAATGCCGTAGGATGACGAATAAGTTCAGTTTTTTAAAAGTTAAGGCTTAGTTTTGGGCTTTTAAAAAAAATGTTTGTAGTAATTAGAGGGGAGTTTCAGGGGGTCTCCCCATGACAAGCGCGAGTACGTAATAACTGTAATGATGTGCCGTAACATCTAAAGTAACTATTTGCAAAGCTTTTCAAAGCCAAAATCGTATTCAGGGCCCTAAAAAAAACCTATACAGCAACAAAATAATACCCTTTAAGAGACGGGAGTGTTTCTATAAATTTTTATAAAATCACTCCCGTTTCGCGTCACATCCACTAGATCTACCAAAAGTCAGCTGCTTCATCACTTTAATGCCGTCAGATGACAAATAAGGTCAGTTTTTTGGGGGTAAGGCTTAGTTACAAGAAAAAAGAAGGAGGTAGCCTACAGTATTGGTGTTTGGGTTAAGGATGAAACAGGTTTTGACACGACAATATACAACTACACAACAACAGGCAACAGTAACTCAGTAACAGTAACATCCGAGTTCTTACTGCTACATTCAAAACTTTGGTATAGCATTTACTTTTACGAATTATCTGTTGCTTCTGTTGATCTTTCGTTTTACTGACTGGAAACAACAAATCAGTAACAGACGTCATAGTCCGCCTGAATCTTTCATCTACTTTTGTGAGTGTTGAATCCATTTTGTTAAAATTTGTCGTATCCACCATTCAGTCACGTGATGTAAACAGTCTGCCTTCCGTCAAATACCGTCAAAGAATGTACATAATAGTCGTTTAAATAGCACATCACTTCCGCGAAAAGGAGAAGAAAACTGCGAAATAGATTTTGTCCGAACTCGAATGAAACGACCAATGAAACGGATTGTGACATCCGCGAACTTTGAAAGCATAAACAGCGACGGATCCCAAACAGCGATATTATTGTATAGAGATCTACGATTTCATGAAAGGTAAAAACCTTATTTTTATGGTGTGAAAGAAGGAATGCAGTGGATGAAAGCGAGTTAAATTGGGTTCAGTATTTCAAATAGATTGCACTTTTATTTTTTCACGTGTACTTCGTGTTATCATTAGTAAATTAGGCTAAGACGCTAAGTTACCAAAGCTGATTGGTGGTTTTTAGATTTTAGAACTTGCAAAGTGATCAGAGGTGGCCATATTTTTAAGACAATGTCATAAAAAAAGGAGTCAAATCATTGGAGGTTTATTCAGAAACTGAGAAAGCTTCCACAATATATAATTCAGGCTGAACTACAATATATTATGATGTAGAAAGGCCTCCTCTATTCTCACCCGGAGTGAGAATGGCCACCTCTGTTCTCACCCGGAGTGAGAATAGTGCAGGCGAGTCTTGTGGCTATTCTCACCCGGTGCGCGTTCACCAAATTTTGCGTTCACCCTAAACCACAGAATTCTACACTGTGATAACAGAAAAATTGTAGACTTCTGTGCCGTGAGCAAACGTTCCATTACAACTGTAGCCTACTAAAAGCGTACAATTTTGTCTGTGGGCAGTGGAGAGAGAAAGAGAGAGAGGAGTAGCGCGAGAATTTCCTGGCAAAACAAAATGGCGACCCGCGTAGTTCGGCTCGATTCGAAAAGTTAAATAGCCGTAGCATCTTTGTAGACAACCAAATTAATTTACTTTTGTGTTTTAACATCATTTTTTAACTTTGTTTTGGTCAATTTGATCGTCCACACCGATAGACAGTATTCAGAAAGAGACAGAGAGAGAGAGAAGAGGGGAGGAGTTGATCTTGCGAGAACTTCCGGGCGGGTGAGAATAGCCACTTTCAGTGAGAATAGTGCAGGCGAGTCTTGTGGCTATTCTTACCCGGTGCGCGTTCACCAAATTTTGCGTTCACCCTAAACCACAGAATTCTACACTGATAACAGAAAAATTGTAGAATTCTGTGCCGTGAACAAACGTTCTATTACAACTGTAGCCTACTAAAAGCGTATGATTTTGTCTGTGGGCAGTGGAGAGAGAAAGAGAGAGAGGAGTAGCGCGAGAATTTCCGGGCAAAACAAAATGGTGACCCGCGTAGTTCGGCTCGATTCGAAAAGTTAAATAGCCGTAGCATCTTTGTAGACAACCAAATTAAATTTACTTTTGTGTTTTAACATCATTTTTTAACTTTGTTTTGGTCAATTTGATCGTCCACACCAATAGTCTCAATAGACAGTATTCAGAAAGAGACAGAGAGAGAGAGAAGAGGGGAGGAGTTGATCTTGCGAGAACTTCCGGGCGGGTGAGAATAGCCACTTTCAGTGAGAATAGTGCAGGCGAGTCTTGTGGCTATTCTTACCCGGTGCGCGTTCACCAAATTTTGCGTTCACCCTAAACCACAGAATTCTACACTGATAACAGAAAAATTGTAGAATTCTGTGCCGTGAACAAACGTTCTATTACAACTGTAGCCTACTAAAAGCGTATGATTTTGTCTGTGGGCAGTGGAGAGAGAAAGAGAGAGAGGAGTAGCGCGAGAATTTCCGGGCAAAACAAAATGGTGACCCGCGTAGTTCGGCTCGATTCGAAAAGTTAAATAGCCGTAGCATCTTTGTAGACAACCAAATTAAATTTACTTTTGTGTTTTAACATCATTTTTTAACTTTGTTTTGGTCAATTTGATCGTCCACACCAATAGACAGTATTCAGAAAGAGACAGAGAGAGAGAGAAGAGGGGAGGAGTTGATCTTGCGAGAACTTCCGGGCGGGTGAGAATAGCCACTTTCATGTAGAAATGAGGGCTACTAGATCTAGATCTAATCTTATCTAGTACTGGCGTTTCAAATAGCATGGGAGCTATATTCAGAATGCGGCGTTTCAAATCAAATAGCTCGGGGGAGCTATTCAGAAAGTGGCTTTACAAATAGCACAGGAGCTACTATTCAGAACGCAGCATTGCAAATAGCGCCTGCCAAAAAATTATGGCAGTTTAGCCCTCAAGAAAAAAAATTAATACATCTGTGTTTAAGTGCTTAAGAAAAAATTTACTGAATACACTGAAGATGGACTTATCTAGATCAAAAACCTATCAGTAGAGCTGGGTTTTCTTAAAATTTTAGAATTGCGAGCAAGCTGCTCGCTCCAAGTGAAACTTTACGAGTAGGCTTGAGTTCTTGCAGGCTGTGACGTCAGCACCATGTGACCTCAGTGACATCACATACTGTTTCGCGCCAAAGGCCGACAGTGTTACTGTTCCTTCTTTTTCTTTTGACTTTTTTTCCCCTCCACCCCTTTAAAATTAAAAAGAAGCCTCCCTCTCCCTCCCTCTCTCTCTCTCTCTCTCTCTCACTCCCCACCCCACACACTCACACATAAAACAGAAGTACTTAAGTTAAGAAATTAGGAAAGTCGAGCGTTCAACAAATGCATTGGCAGGTCGTGCATAACACACTCTAAAGTCCAAAACCAATCATAGTCTGATATGAGCAGCCAAAATCACATGTGCCACTACAGCCCGATCGTGTTAGCCTAGATTAAAAACTAGCTCTACCGACTGCGGGGGTTAGAAGTAGACACCCAAACCATTTGCTTTTGGCGCTTACTACTCACATAGTACATTACAACGTGTTGCCTCCATTGACTGGCAACACTTCCTGTGTTTCCCATTCATAAATTAATGCATTAACCCTCCGCTCGTCTCACGCGCCGTCACCGAGTGCTCACCCTGCCCACAGCCATCCCCAGTAGACAGACCGACACCCCTTAGCCCCCACCCCCTTTCAATCACGCAGCATCTCAATGGCTGAACGACAGGCTAGCCTACCTAACACTAGGCCACCCTATAACCTTTCACCCTAGGCTTAGAGACTCCCATCTATTCATGAATAGCACCATCAATGACCTATGAACTGAGTTGAAGCTAAAGGCCTAGATATAGGATAATAAGAACAACTCTGAATCGATTCACTGAGTTGCCTCCGCACCATATGGTATCAACTCCTGAATCGATTCACTGAGTTGCGAGTAGACATGATCGCATCCACTGCATTAAATATAGTGTCAACTCCTGAATCGATTCACTGAGTTGCGAGTGGACGTGATCGCATCCACCGCACTAAATATAGTGTCAACTTCTGATTCGATTCAATGAGTTGCGAGCAGCAAGTGAGTTGCTCTGAGGTGAATCTCCGGTGTTGCCGCTCGCTGCTCACTGACAGGCTTTTCACTTGCAAACTACTGCTTCTCATAGAAAGGCTGGTTGTATTTGGTCTTGGCATCATAAACTGCCGTGGGCTCATTACATTTTAACAATTAAGATTGAGATTCATAGTAGAAATTCTTTGCTGCAACTCTGAATCACTGAATTGCACTGAGTTGAACTGAGTTGCTCAAGTGAGTTGGGAGTTGCGAGCAGTGAACGGAATTGATATCGGGATCCAGCTCTACCAATCAGGCATGAATGAAATTCGTACTTTCCGACATAGGATCATTCCGACATTGCATAGATAGGCCTACTTTTTTTTTTCACCGTCAGGCCAATGTTTTTATTCTCACATTTTCCTGTAGGAAGTGGTTGTTCTCTGTCTTGCTATTCTCACCCCTCCCTTGTTTTAAATTTAATGGCACAAGAACTAAAACCCTTGCAAATCTATTGTTTTCAAGTAAATATCGATCCTAATTGCCGAAACATCTAGATCTAGATCTAATCATTGTGAAATGCAGAGGGGCATGCCCCCCTGAAAACCCAGGTCAGGAGGGGGGGGGGGGAGGAGGGGGGTGGGCTGAAACCCACCATGTTGTTAAAATCAACTCAAATATTAGAACTACTATTTTCAAATATCAATAACTCAATAACTATTGATTCGCAGCAAAAATGTAGGCCATATATATATTCATTTTCAGCATGCAAAATATTAGATCTACTAGAAAAGAAAGTATAAAACGTGAACATGAGACGGGTGCATGATGAGTAAAAAAAACCTTTTGTATTCTTTTACTTTCTCTCCCGTCTCATACACTTGGCTACCAGTTGTCCTTTTTCTACTATATTGATTGGCCACACGTGAATCAACTTCATTTCCATTGCAAATGAAGTTTTTTAAATGTTTGATTGTTCTTAATTCAGAGCTATATTATATATAATAATAATATCACACTCTATGCCTAACCGCGTAATAATTTGCATGCTTTGGATCAATCGGGGGGGGGGGGGGGGGGGAGGGGTTCTGTGGGGCCTGCTCCCCGTGGGATAAAAAAAGATCTTGGGGGTTACAGGGGGGCATGCACCCCTGTCTTTACCTATAATTTGATATTTTACAGTAAAAGGTAAATGGAAATTTTCTTGAAAATAGTTGATTTGTGACAATTTTGGCAGCTTTGTGTTATCTGCAGCAAACAATACTACTGCAGTTTGACCCCCGAAGCTGTTCATCTGTGTGCAGGAGTGAAAGTAAAAATTTTCCCCATCTCTTCTTATTTTCGTATGACTTCACTCCCTCTACGGCAACAACCCTCCCCCTAGATTTGTAGACCAGTCCTGGCACTAACCTCATCATAATGCTCCAGCGATGAAGTTACCAGAATACAGTAGAACATGACTATAGAGGCCACCGCTGCAGCAGGACCTTATTGGAATCCCCTTTTTTTGTCTCTATCAAACTCAATTAACTGTGCTAGGGTCGGTGTAAGGAAAGGCCCGAACTTGGATACACAGATACCAGGAGAGATCAAGCGAGCTCTAGCGTAGGGGTGGGGGGTGTAGATAGACTCCAAACAGGCAGTCAGCGATGCAGTGTTGTGATTAACCAGTCCTGTGATGAGTGAAGTGGGGCGGAGAGATGCGGGTGAGCCACTCCAAAAGTGATACCGGTAGTGCCATAGCCTTAGGCCTAGGCTAGGCCTATTTAAAAAGACAGTAAAAGAAAGAGGAGAACGAGTAGTGTGTTATTTTTCGGCAATAACAATTCCCCTTTGCATTCCTATAGCGGGAACATGCCTACAGCGGGATTTTTGCTCTGGAGCTAAAAGTCCCGATATAGCAAAAGATCAAATCAAATCTTAAAAATCACAGTGTCTTTCTTCAATGGCTGACAAAGAAAGAACAAGTGAAATCTGGCCTGGAAGAAGACTTAGAAGTAGAGAAGTAGAAGCACGGCGCAAATCAGATGGGTCATGTGACTACATAAAATCTGGGCGTGTCTATATGCGCGTGCACCAATTTAACCCTTTTTTCTGGAAGAAGACTTAGAAGTAGAAGCGCGGCGCAAATCAGACGGGTCACGTGACTACGTAAAATCTGGCCATGTCTATATGCGCGTGCACCAATTTAAACAATTTTTTTTAGAACTCACGCTATTGGGTGCACCAGTACGCATGCGATTGTTTGTGTGCAAGACATACTTTACTATGCACGCAAATCCGTTAATTTCACTCTTCTTTTGCCCTTCAGAATTATGTTTCCCCTTTTCTGTCGGGGGCCTAAATCACTAAATGTGCTCAGACGAGATGATGAGAATTGATAAATAACCTGAGTCTTCACTCTTGTAAACCTTAGTCTTGATATAAGACGTTTAGAGACTCCATGCAGCCTGTACAACTGTTTAATTTTCAGAATTTTTGAATTCCTCCGATTTTCTGCTGAAAAAAAATGCCTCAGAAGAACAGAACACATGAGGTTGCATAGCAACATAATGGAATGTAACTCTGGGTGACTTTCCTTCAAGTCGCTCAATAGTAGCCTTTCTTGTAGATTCAATGTCCCTTCTTCCAGTTCAGTACGACTGTCCAAACCTAACACCGTGCTTGCCCATAGACTCAGCCGTAAAATCTCGTGGTCTTGGTCTCGTCTCGTGGGCTAGCCTACAAAAAAAAACACTGATTGGGAATAGGCAAATAAATTCTACTTATTCCCAACCATATATTAAGCATGATCACATCTCTGTTTCTCGTTAGGCTACTTTAACTTTAATTTACTGACGATGATGAATAGGCTATTTTATTAAATTAATATACCCACAATTATTAATTATTGTTCTTGACTTTTATATAGTGAAATCCCCGTTATCGGGCACTCCTCAAGATAAAAAAATTGAAGGAAACAGCATTTTTTCTCTTGTTTGGCAATTTTTATAAGTTTTTCTGTTTTGCTTCAGGCTGGAAGTTTTCTGACTTTCCGTAGTACCAGAAGCTTGCCCATGCTCATAAATTTCATGTGTATATTCTCTTCATTCACATATATCTCCTACTTTCTTTCTCTGCAAGATCATACTACACCATTAACTAGCTTAAATAAATGTTTAGCTCCTGTGCTTTTAGTTAAAACCTTATTGACCATCATTCTCAGATTCTGTGAGGTGAAGAGCGAAGTATTTTTTTTTCTTTTATAAACTTGACTGTCATGGTGACACTCAAATGGCTAGTCTATTCACTCTTTAAATATGTTTCTTGGATTGACCTTGAGAAAGGGGGGGAGGGGGTGCAAGAAGTAAACTCTTAGTCAAACCCTCAGTACTTTAGACTTGGGGATACAAAAAGCCAGTCACAGAAAATTGAAGAAACAAATTATGTAGTTTGTTTTTACCTATGATGCATGTGTGTACATTCATGTGGAAAATACTTTTTTTTAAATAGTTTATGTTTGCAAATTCTTTGTCAACTTGTGTTGTGCTCATGTTTGTATTATATAAATAGAAAACCACTTTGCTGTGTTGTATCTCTAAACATGAATTTTAGTTCTTCTGGGGCTTTTTTTGTCCACAGATGCATATCTGATCAATAGCAATCTTCATTTGTCACGACTTGGTGGTTATATCTGTTCGTTGAGCAGACGTGAAATAGACTTCTTCAATGGAATTTCAAGTGTTCCACGATGTGCTATCGAACAAGGAAAATGGTGTGGCAGGGACAAAGAATAAGGTTAGTAAATGAAATATTATATATGTGATTGTAAATACTTTTCGCCCCTGTTAATTAATACAATTTAGTTCAATATTGGGGAGGGCTGATTCAGTGCTGCCTGTTAGGGCCATTCTGGGCTGAGGTGAATGCAGCATCCCAGCATACAGTTGGAAGGAACTCGATTAAAAAAACCTCCACTCTCAGGCGTGTCAAAGTCACATATTTTGCATGCAATGGGGAAGAGACTAACCACCACACTACAGAGACAGATGTTCAGTGTGTAGCGGTTGGGTATTTTTTGTTTTCCACATGACTTTTGTTAGATCAAAATTATCTTTAGAACTTTAGCAAGTTCATTGAATATTAAATCAATTTGTAGGCAAAAGAAGTTGGTCTGTGTCTGTCCCATTTCCAAAGATATTACTGTTTCATTTCTGTCTTCTTTCACATTCCACACACATTTTATGTGTTTAATTTGTGTGTGAGAGAGCATTTGTGTATGGGTGGTGTGCAATCACATGTTTGTGTTGTGAAACACCAAAGCGATGTGCCAGCGTCTGGACAATAATGATTCACTTCTTTTCTCCTCAGGTTATTCCAAATCAAGAAACCAACAGCTACCCAGCCCGCACTCCCCTTCAGGATGTGAGGAACAAAAGAATAAAGGATGTCTTATCTGGAACTAGTGAGGTTCAGAAGAGTGACCACAGGTAATTGACCCTGTTTCTGGTATTGGTGTTTATTCAACTTTTGGCTCGAAATCTGATAATATAAAGATTTGTGTGGGTGGTTGGCGGGTGCTCTGGTGTGGCTTGCTCCTTCTTTCCTATCAAATATCTATCGTCCTTATCTCCCCCTCCTTCTTTTTTATGTTAGTTACTCTCTTGTATCACCTCTAATCTTCTGGCGCTCATATGACCTTATGCTGTTGCGAGTGCCGAAAAAAACTCTACTAAAACACAAAGATTTGGCACGTTGGGGAAAGTATTGCTGTAACTTACAATCCACTGGTCTAGTATCCTTGGGGGGGGGGGGGGGGGGGGGGGGGGGGCCGATAAAAAAATCCTCTCTTATGATGTTTCTGAAAGGTTGAGATATAAATTATCACTTTGTAGCCCAATGCTTTGAATTCAACTGTCCCATGATTTCTCTTTGTTGTGTTTTGTATTATTAATCTGGTTCATTGTTATTGTTTCTCTGTCTGCCATTTATATCAACAAAAGGCGGTCTTTAGTTTTTGTGTATATCCTTACCTTCTGGATAAAAAGTAAACTGTCATGTTTTGTGCTTTAAATGGCAGGACAATATAAAAAAATATTAAAAATAGCCAGATGCTCTTTTTTAAGTATTCAATAAAACATTATTATTTAGAATAGCAGAACTTTTGTCATATCACCTTTGTCCTGCTCTGATATTGCAAAGTGCTTGCTAGTCTAAGCTTTATATCGAAGTCAATCTGTATCTTTTTTTAACTTTTTCTCCGTCCTGCACAGACTGGAGGCTCTTGATCTCCTGACACAGGAGACTCCGAAGAAACAACGAAACAAGGCAGTCAGGTCGAGAAGAGTAAGTGAAAATCAAATTGTGTGGAAAATTGCAATCTCGATCATGATAATATAATACATGTACTGGCATAGTCATAACACAATTGCTGAGTCAAATTTTGTTGTTTTGTTAAAACTTTTGTCAAATGTGCATACTGATGACTTGAACAAAAGTGAATATGTCTCAGTAATTTGATTTTTAGCACTCAATACTATACCCTGCTATATTAAGGGTTTAAAAAAAAACACAAATATCAGGCATTTTTAAACCTTACTAATAACTAGAAACCTGAAAAAATGGACTCAAGCAATTAAGCCTATGCTATATGACCTCGACAATGTAGAATTTGGACATGGAGTTCATCAGTGGCTGAGATCTTGGTCAGCTGTCATATTTGCCTCTGTGAAGTGAGAAAAGTTAACAAGACAAACATTTATAAAATAATATATCAGTCACACCTGCTCTAACGGCCTCATGTATAAGATGATCACCTGTACAAATGGCCACTTCTCATTTCCCCCCTTGCGGTTTTTTTTGGGGGGGGTCTTTATAATGATACAGATGAAGATGTACACAGTTCAAAGACAACCACTTTTCTCCTCTACAATGTATGCCCGTCTTAAACTGTATATGGTTTTCCCATTCTGTATTTCCAGTCTTGCTTTGCATCCTTCGACACCCACCCGCCATCTTCAGAGCTCTCCAGTGTCACTCTACCACAGCAGGTGGAGGAAGAGCCGGACTGCCCTCCTCATGAGCCGCTCATGTCTTTGAAATCACTTCGCCCTGATGATGATGGCGTAGTCGCCTCAACCTCAAAGTCAAACCGAGTTGTGGTACTAGACACTGTGCCGGAACTTTCCCTGGATCAAGACTGTCTGGGTGCCTCCACTTCAAATCCTCGCTCAGATTGCACTGAGTTGGAGCGTGACGAGTCAAGAGAGATCAGTGAATCAGTAATAGAAGTAGGTGGGGAAATAACGCTTGGTGCTTCTCAGGATGCAACGAAAGGTCAAGGTGAAGAAGGGCCAAACTTTGAGGACAATCCCCATCTGCCTGTCATAGCCGTGGTTGAAAGGGAAACAGATGAGCTGGTTGAGATGATTGTGAATGAATGTGCTTCTGAACTGCAACAGGTTTGTTCAATATTTCAAGGGCTAGTTGATAAAGTTGTTTCACTAATGTAATCTTTCAACTACCAATAAAAAAATTATGAAGTTATTAAATTGGAGGAGGTGGGAGTAGGGGTTAATTTGGAAAACGCCTTAGACATCCAAGCTGGACAAAAAATTTGAGATTTTTTACAAATTTTTCATTCCTTACAATACAAAATAACGAGTTTTGAAGTAATAGGACTGCTTCAAACTAACATTTGTAAATGAATATCTTAGCTCTTTGCATATTTGCATGTGGAGCTATAGAATGTTGTTTGATCTGTTTGTAATACAGGCTGAAGGACTAAAACTCAGGTGGCTGCTGGATCTGTAAATTAAAGTAAAAGTATTTGTTTGTGATCTGTTTGCACCGAAAGAAATGTGATGACAGTGGTCTCATAGATTGTTTGCGAGACATTTTAAAATTTGTCATTTTTCTTTTTTGCTCTAAATGTATAAGCACTCTGTTTACAGTAGATTTTGATATATGCATAGTTTTTCTTATTTCACAAACTGGAGTACACTTAGGTTTTATGTCATTACTATTTTTTTATACAAGTATGACTCCTGATATCAGAAAGTGTTCCGTCTCTTTTAACAATGTTATCGTATTATACACATAACTTCAGATGTTCTATTCAGGTTTATAGCTGCAATGATTGATGATTGAAGTCACTGGATAAATGTCTGCCCTCACACACTAACTCATGAATCATTTTTCACCCCCAGCTGTCCAAGTCCCTTGCAGAGTGCTCTGTAGGGTCATTAACTACGCAGGTCTTTTCACCGTCATCAGCCCATTACGATCACCCCTATTCACAAATTTATCAGAAAGAAGCAAGCAGAGAGCAAATTGCATCATCGACTCCTCTGCACAAGTCAATGACTGAAATACCCAGTAGCTCCAAACAGAGTGGTTTATCCGTCCAAACAGGTAACCCTATGTGCAGTTCAACTCCAGTTTTGCATCTTCAAGCAGCGCTGACGAGCAGAGCACAGCGCCTTCTTCTTCCGTCTCCCTGTCTGGCAGACGGAAATTTGTCGACCACTGAAGCTGAAGAACAACACGTTGGTGGAGATAATCTCCGGAGTCACACCGCAGCACCACCTTGCTCGCCCATGGGTTCGACCGACAATTTCTGGAAAGGAGAAGCGGACGCAAGACAGTCTTTCTCAACCTCGCTGAATGAGCTGATGAACATGTCTGCCAACTTGTTCCAGGAAAAATTGGAGGCTCAAGAACTCTCTACAATGATAGAGGCTTACCTGCTGAATACTCCAGCAGGGGGGAAGAAGGAAGAGGTTTCTCTTTCTTCCTCTTCCGTCAATCGACTTCTCGAGTTAGATTTGACACAGTCAGCTCCTGACGAAAGAGTGGGTTGTGACGTGTCTGACCATTGCGTGGGTGAGTCTTTCTCTTCTGATGCTGAATCTTTTGCCGTGATTCCACCGTCACCGAATATTCGCTGCGTAAATGTGGGGAGCACAGCATTCCAGCAGATGACGGACAAAACAAAAGACCTGAATGAGTTTGCAGACATAAATATTGTTAACAGCGACCTCGTAATGTTTACGCCGAAAAGAAAACACAATGACTTGTCTTCATCCTTACAGAAAAACCATGAAAGCGAGAGCAGAATCTCAAACTCGTCCCAAAACAGTAGTCTTCCTCCCTCAGTGCTGCCCTTACTAAATGACTCTGTAAAAATTCACAACAGCTGTCAACCATCGGAGGTTCAAGGTGTATCAGCTGTTCAGATGGTGGAGCCTTCAGATTTCACTGAGCATTGCTCACACCCTGAGGATGATGAAGGCACTTCTGACAGAGCTGGCAGTATTACGGAAGATATTGTTTCTCATGGTCTAAGTGTCCATATTGGGAGTGCTATGGGTTACCACTCATTGAGCACTCCGACTCCCGACACTTTCTCGAACTGTAGCACCGGCTCGTCTTTTCAAACAGATTCTTTTTACACCTCTGCAATTACAAAGGAGAATCAAGAAATGGAGAAATCCACGGGGATTGAATTTTTTAGCTCTGTCTGTACTCATCAGGCTAATCCTACAACACATGAATGTACAGATAACCTTGTGTTGACGGATCCAGCGATCTGGGAAATGGTGAACAGGTCAATGGTGACTGATCGTGCTCTACGGGAAATGGTAAATAGATCGATGGAGACAGATCCAACAGTTCAAGAAATGGTGAACAGATCAATGGTGACGGATCCGACACTTCAAGAAATGGTGAACAGATCAATGGTGACAGATCATGCTGTACAGGAAATGGTGAACAGATCAATGGTGACAGATCATACTGAACAGGAAATGGTGAACAAATCACTAATGACAGATCCGACATTACAAGAAATGATGAACAGGTCCATGATGACAGAAGAAGACTTCTCTGCTAGGACGACAGACACCAGGGACCTCAGCGTTCTGGCTATGGTGGAAGCCCTGAACAAACAGACTATGACGGAGAGACACGAGATGGTGGACACTGGTTCGGGAATGACACCTGTCAAGCTGAACAAACCCGGCCGCCGGTAATAGAGGGGAATTTTTGCTCCTTTTGTTATAAACCTTTACTGTTGAATCTGCTCTAATGGTCACCCATCCAAGATATTCATCTACAAAAAACTCAACCCACCCCCTGAGTGTTTAAAAAAAAGATATTATAATTATAATAATGCTAAATCTAAGACAACCACTTTTCTCCTGTCAATGGGCGGCCGTCTTGGACTATCTTGACTGTATTTAATTTTGGTCTCTGTTATTCAAGGTAGTTTAGTTTAGAATGTTCAGATGGGTGTGGTTCCATTTAGCAGATCCTTCTTTTCTTCCCTTGTTTATGTCTGTCTTTCTTGCTTTTTTTTTTTACACGAGCTCTAAATACCCATAAATGTGTCAGTGTGATTTTCTTTACCAAAGCAGAAAAACAAGAATTTCAACCCCCAAAAAAGTGCACAGAGAGGGATTAGTGGATGGTTGACAGGTGCTCTGGTGTAGTTTGCTGCTTCTTCTTTCGTATCAAATATCTTTTGTCTTTATCTCCCCTCCTTCTTTTCTGTGTTTGTTACTCTCTTGTAACACCTCTAATCTTCAGCATTTAATGACCTTATTGTGTTGCATGTGCAGTAAAACTCTTACTAAAAAGAGGGGTTTAATTCCCTTCACATTTTGTTACTGCTTTTTATATTAACCATAAGTGTTTTTTTGTGTGCTCAATCATATGTTTTATGTAGATTTTCTACCTGTAAAATCTTTTTTGGGATGACTGTATATATATAATATAAGATGTTGATATTTAAGTAATCAGGAATTGATTATTTAATTGCATCAAACTGTTCTTTCCCCTAGATATGATAACAATCAGCAGTGTGCTGTTATAGTATGCTCTGCCTGGTGAGGAGAATCATAGAATCATGAAAAATGTATCTTGCATGAGGAATATATATGTGTCACGATGCAGTGGAATCAGGCGCTCATCAATTTTTGGGCATATGGAGCTATTGGTATCATCTTAAAGGTTTTCATTTGCCTTGCTTTTGATGAAAAAAGTATCCATTTATCTTGAATAGAAGTCGAGATATTTGCAATTGAAGGAGGTGGGGTGTCCTGGTTTCAGAGGTAAAATTAGCAAGAAAATGGCCACCAAAGTTTGGTGATTTCCATAGCTAAAGAGTCCTTGGAAACTGCAAATTAAAATTTGTTATGCCTATAATCAATGTTATTTCCATAAGATTCACACTTTAAAGTGTTTTTTAATAGACATACGAGGTGTTGCGACAAAATACAAAAATTCGACAAAAATTTCCAAACTGGCCGAAAAATGCTGATTTCTTCCATTTCATTATTTTGACGAGTGCCTGATTTCACCATGATGCCTCACATATATGTATATAGTGTGCTCTGTGTCTGATGCAAGGTTTATAATTTTGACTTTTATTGTTCAGCAGGTTTTTTTAATTGTCCTGATTGTAGTTTTAATAGTTATAAACCTGAGAGACAAAAGATAATGAGTGAATTACGAATAAACTTTCGCAACACAACCATTTTTCTGATTCGAAGTCAGAAAAATGGGTGTGTCATATTTTGTCTCAAATGTATAGTATACTTTGTTGACGTCACTGCTCCTGAACCTCCCAGTTTGCCTGTTCTTTCCTCTAGGATGACAGCGGAGGACGTGCGGAGACAACACCCTCGGGCCGTGGCCAACCAGCTGGAGACAACTATGGCTGCCAACCAGAGGCTAGAGAAGGAGGTCAAGGCCACTTCTCACGAGCGCAACCGGCTGCAGGCGTCTCTGAAAGAGTGCAGGGGAAAACTGACGTCTAGTGAGAAACAGCTGGTGGAGCTGAGGGATAACCACACCCAGGACATTGCTTTACTTGAGGTATTATATCATGTGACATTTGTGGTGTCTTCTTCTTCTCATTCATTTCTAAATGGATATCCCAGTCTCTTGTGCGAAGGCTGCTGTTTGCCACAAGTCTTCCAGGCTCTCGTAGAGTTTTAGGTCTCCCTGCCTAAGGTTGTGCCAATATATCCTTCTAAATGCCTCAAGCATTTGGGCAGGCTTGTAGTATAGCTGGTTTCCTGTTTGGCTACTCGTTCTGCACCAGCACTGCTCTGAGTTGCTGATACTGAACTTTGTGTAGAGGTGATGTTTCAGCTGGTTCTGTCAGGCTGGGAAAATAGAAGCCAAAAGAGGCAGAGGTAGACCAAGCTTATAGAGAACTTGAAGAGATGGGTGAAAGGAGGAGAGCTTCCCTGGTCTTACCCAAATAGTTTCGCCAACCTCTCCAACTTTTGTCTGTGGGTGGTTGACGGGGTTGGTTCTGTTGTGGTTTGCTCCTTCTATCCAATGAAACATGTATTGTCTGCATCTCTCCTCCTTCTTTTCTTTGTTTGCTACTCTCCAGTAATACTTCTTGACCGTTGACACATAAATGACATATTTGTGGTGCTAGTGCCGTTTTAAACTCTTACTAAAACAACTGAACCGACCTTCGTCCTTTGTTCTCAGCAACTCCACGAGGAAGCCTTGTCGGGCCTGCAGAAATGTGTGGAGGAGAAGCAGAACAGAATCTACCAGCTGGAGCAGGAGCTGAGCCAGTCGAGCGAGATGCTGAGAACGGCGGAGACCAGCTTGTCTGCCAGCGTGGCCGACCTAGAGCAGGCGTGCGAGTCTCTGGAGCTGTCTAGACAGGAGGCGGAGAAACGACATGCTGAGGAAGTACGTTGTTGTGCAGTTGTTAATTTTTTAAAAATATAATAATTTAGTCCTTTCAATGTTTTGTATTTCCCCAGCACCTGAAGCTGTGGGAAATTGTGTTATTCTGTGACATACAAGGTATGTCTATAGGGCATTGAAGTGGTTAATATAAAGTTTTTAGTTGTGTGTGCAGTCACAGAAGTATTTCATTATTAGACTATGTAACTGTTAAACTGTAAAAAAAATTATGGTGAAAAAGACATGTAGACCAAGAATAACTGGTAAAAGTGAAGCATAACACCTTTTTGCCAGGTTGGACCTGGCAGGCTAAGTCAAACAAACCTACCCCTGACATTATCGAAGTTTTCTGAACGACAGATGTGCTTCTCTTTACTCTAAACAAACAGAAAAAATTATGTCCATTGATTCAGAGAATGGAAGTCCAATTTGAGGGGCTAACACATAGAATAATTATGTTAGCTGAATTTGAAAAAGTTGTGTGATAAAATAATTCTGCGTCCACAGATTGAGAGAATGCAAGCGGAGTTTGCGAAGAACAGCTACAAGGATCAGTTTGAGACGTCCATGAAGGTGATCAGGGAGCTGCAGACGGAGAGGGAGGAATTCCTGGGACTCATGGATGACATTGAAGGGGCTTCAGCCATGCAGGTTTGTCAGTTTTTCCTTCTTAATCTTACTATCATCTATGGTGGATTGCTGCTACGTGTCACATGATATTGGGGAGTGAGATCTTCTCTTTTCAAGCAGAATGAGTTGTTCTTGTTGTTGTCTTGCTCTTTCCCTCCAGTAAATGATAGAGTGTCACTGTTCTTATCTTTGTTTGAGGGAAAAAATCTATGTTGGATTTTGCCTCACTTAATTGTGACTTGAGTCCTTACCCTTTATTTCTACTTGCATGTCTTTACAGTTCCGTTTGAGAGATTCCCTTCATCATTTGGCAAGAAAAACCAAAAAGACAGTTGAGGACCATGCCATGTTGCATAGACAGTTGCTTTCTGAGGTAAGAGCATAGACAGTTGCTTTCCGAGGTAAGAGTTCGCTGATTTGAATGATGGGTAATTCCATGTGATATATTGTTTTTGCAAGCTGCCGGATATTGTTGATTACAGAAAGTGGGTGGTTGGAGGGCACCACTGGTAGGTCCTACTCTTTTACTTTCCCTCTTCTGTACCTGCCTGTCTGTCTAATTTTTGCCGGCACTAAACTACCATTATTATGTTGATGTGCTTCTTTTTACTCAACATTAATTACAGAAAAACTAAAAACTGTTAAAGGTGTTGTTTTAGAAAAACTGAATGCTTAAAAATTGTATGTGGTTGTAGAGAATGACTGGTAGGTCCCACATCTTCACTGTCCCTATGTTGTTTCTGTCTATCTGTCTTTCTTTTTCCCTGCACTGGATGACCTTCATTGTGTAAATGTGCTTCTTTCTTGAAAATCAAAAACAGATGATTTATAAATGGATAGTACTTTTAATCTCTTGACGTTATGACTTTATGACTTTATTTTCATTCCATTACATTCTTTACTTTTAATTTTCTTTCAGCAGGTGATACATTAATCCATTTCTGTGCCATACATCAAATGTTATTTTCTTGGTTTCCGAGCCATGAAGCAAATGTTCTTTGCTGAGTTTCTGAGCCATGCTTCAAATGTTCTTTGCTTAAGTTAAGAATTACATCATGTAATGTGTTAGTCCAGTTTCTGTGCCATGCATCAAAGTTTTGTTGGTTTGATTTGAGTGATTGAAATTGTCTAAAACAGCCACCCATTGTCAAAGAGAAATGTAATTGTCTAAGACAAGTGAACGTCTTACACAGTGTCATTATGACGTTTAAAACGGGGGAGGGGGGTGAAATTGAACATTTGTTCGGGTGATTGTCTTATATTCACCAGGCTGTTAGAGCAGACTGGACTGTAATTTGTTTGTTTTTATTTGGGGGTTGTTGTTTTTTCGTACAGAATGAGAGCATGCGTCAGAGCATGGCGTCAGTTCAGGTAGACCGTGATGTAGCCCAGGCCGAGAACAGAGACCTACAAGAGGATTTGCAACACTTGAATGACATCATACAAAGAAGCAATAACAGTCTGATTGAGGTCAGAATCTTTTGCTCTTTTCTTTTGGGTGTTTGTGAAATCAGCTGTAAAGCATTTTGCTTATAAAAACTTTTTTACTCGTGGCATTTTATCACTTTTTTATAATATTCATTTTCATTTTGCTACAAAGGATTCTTTAAGTGTAATGATACTTGTACCTTTTTGTGTCCAACTGACTTTATTTTTTAAGGTGATTGGACACTGAAAATATGATCATTGTGTTGGAAATATTGTCATGTTTTTCTGCGTCACCATGGTGTCCATATTGTGCAAAGTCCATTGTATAAGTGCAGATGCTTTTTGGGGGGGGCTGTATAGTCTGGGTTAATTACATCAATTTTTCTCACTTTTCAGTTGGAGAAACTGTATGCAGCAACATCTCAGGATCTGATGGACTCTCAAACTCATGCGGATCGACTCAATGAAGAACTAGTCGAGGCATCTGAAGGTGAATCTAAGTTGAATAATTTCTTTGCAGTAAGCAATTGTTGGAAAAATTTCTTGTGGGTGTAGCAGGGTGACTGCCAGGCCCCAGGAATTTGAAAAAAATCCCCGAGGCCCGGGAATGCCCCGGGAATTTGAGTAAATCTGTAAATTGCCCTGGGAAAATACATATAAGTTCTCTAATGTTTGAAAACCAAAATCCGATAATGTCTTTTCAATTTTGCCGGTCACGATTGTGATATTACCTCAGCTTTTCCGGGTCTGAGAGTACGTTTCAGGCAAACAAGCGGCTATGGCGGCCAGTGGAAATGTATGTGACAGCAAGGCTCGATTGGGAAAATCAAGATCTACTTTCGCTACTACGTTGCCTCCCAGAAATTTATCGGTAATAGTCTAATAATGCAACATTTGTAACATGGAGGTTGTGCATTACAAACGTGGTGTCGCCATGAAAACAAGTCAATATTCGTCACTGTACTGTCACTTGTGGGGGAAAAAAGAAAGTTATATAAGCGTGTCGGGCTCGCCGTTGTGACCGGTCAGTGAACCTGCATGCGTTCTGAGCGCTGCGAAGTACAGGACTCTGGAATGGAGGGAGATTATTGATTTTTTTTAGAAAAGATAGACTCGGGGAGGGCTGATCGCTACACCAGAGGGCGAAAACTGAACTTGGAAGCAAATTTTTTTTATTTAGGATTTTGATTACTACTACAGCTCTTTGCAAAGTAAAGTGCGCGTTAGTGCAGGCCTTACTTGTGTGGAATCAGGATCCGTCATAACTTGCGAGCGTGTTATTGAACTAAAGTGTTCGCTTTTCATTGGATGGGTGATAGTAAATTTTATCTCTATATTTTAGCTTTCCGTTAAAGATTCGCAGATTTTCAATGTCACTGCATCTTGCCCTCCCACAGTTCTTACACCTCTCACACTGAATAGGTCTACTTATATAAAATCCATTGATAAATAAAAAAGCTCAACAGCAGGCTCTATGCGCTTTACACCGCAGACCATAGAGCACTCCGAAATATTCTCAGCTTCTCGGGAAGCATACAGTGCAAGCAGCTGATTAAGCGCTCAAGCACTAATAAACTGACAAGATCTTTCGCTGTCTATAGCCGGGTACCCATTCCCACCTGGGTGAAGTGAGGAAAATTCGTGTAAAGTGCTTTTCCCAAGGACACAACGTCGGGCCCCTGACGGGATTCGAACCCACGACCTTACGGTTGCGAGTCCGAGAGCCTAACCACTAGGCCACCGACGCCACTTTCTGGACGTCCCTCGTACTTGATGGGGTACACGTACTAATTGAAGATAAAGGAATAAGAAAAAAGATAATAAATGAACAACCTTGGCGTGACTTTTTCTTTGGGGGGGGGGGGGGGGGGGTTGCTTTGAGTGTATATAATATATACAATCGAAGTCAAACGCTGTTTCTGTGTGAAAAGGCGCGCCTTTTACATGGATGATTAGGATTATCTGTAAGCTATTTTCAAGACTACGAGAGTTTCAGTATCACTGCAACCTGTGCTCCCCCATTCTATCCAACTCAGACTCGAGTATGCTCTTTTTCAGTTTTTCCTCTACTTTGAGGCCCAAATGTGGACTTATTCCTGCAAAAGTTCTGCCTTGTATGCCTGCCTCATAAAAGGGAACCAGGAACTCCCCCTCCCCAGTGCCCCTTAATACTGATTTGCCATTGATCCAATTTTTTCTCACCAGGTCCTGATTTTTTAACTCTGAAATCCTGATTTGTTTAGATTTCATAGAGTGGTATGTCTGTTATAGGCGTCAATAATTTTAAGTTATTTGATCTTTACAATTACTGCAATCATTAACTCCCAAATTTCTGCACCTCAGCTTTGGACGGGCTTCTGACTACAAAAGAAGTGCTGACACAGCAGCTGTCAGAACAGCAGGACAGCGAGACATTGGCTTGCCAGGCTCTGCAGGAGTCCCAGGAGCAGCTGGCAGAGATGGAGCAACTCCTGGACGAGAAGGCAGCTCTGTAAGATTTGTGTCTTGTCTTGTTTTCAAAATTACAATCTTGCACGACCATAGCACACTGATTTTTTCAGGTCTCCAATATTAATTTTCTTATGTGCGTATTCTTAACATATACATATCAAAATTCATTCAGAATTTTAAAAATTTGGCATCCCATCGATTTCGCTATGTGTGTGCTAGACCATAAAATTTTGGTCTCCGGGTTTCCCAATAAATTGCTCAACTGCAAAACTTACAGGATCCTCAGCTAAACATGTTAACATCGCGCGCACGCACACACACACACACACACATATATACACAAGAGGGACATAAACTGTCATACAAGAGATTTTTAAAAAGCATTGTAAAACATTTTCATTGAAACATTTCCCATTTTCTAAACTTAAAAATTTCCAGGAAAAAAAAAAGAACATTGAGAACAGACTGTACCAAGTGCACATATTTTTCGCTACGCTACTGGAAGGTTCTTCTTTTCTTTCTTTCTGCCGTCTATGTCTGTCTGTCTTACTTTTTTCCTGTGCTAAATGTCTTATTGTGTTGGTTTGTTCTCTTTACTCAAAATTGAAATAACTTATCATATCATTGCTCTTCTTTTGAATTGAAACAAACAAAACTTTATTTGCCCTGTATAGTGACGGCTATCTTAGTTGTCTCTTGTACAGGCTTGCCAACTGTACCGGATTCAACAGATAGGAAATTTCCCTGTCACCATAACATTACCACACACCTAAACCAATCCCACTTTTTGTTCATTATAATGTAATGTAATCTGATCTTATAACATTGAGTGTCCCTGATTGGTGTTTGAAACAGTTTGCGTGATTGTTCATATATCTTAGCAATGGTAGATAAAATGAAAGCAATGGGGGTTTTTTTTTCCCACAGATTGTCTGCCAGTCAGTCTGAAAAGGAGAAACTGAAAGCAGACCACCTGAGTATGATTTCAAAGTACGTAACTGTCTTTACCTGGTTTATTGAAATGCATTTCACTTTGAAAAGATTAATTTATATTCTTTGTATAAGAAAATAATGTTTGCCAATCTTACCCATTTAACATTACCAGTGGGGAAGTTGTTATATGGAGTATTTCCATCTTGTCTGCTGTACCTCACTCAGTACAGGGTTTGCTCTGACAAGCAGAGTCGAAGTAATGCATATTCCTGAATGATGTTTCAATATACAGTTACAATCCTGACTGGCTATATCAAGGTAACCTTCACTCTAAAATGACATAAATTGTGTCGATAGGAGAGTAAAACATATCTACTGTTACAAATCTGGACAGACCTTGTTGACACCGCGGGGCGGTGCCACTGACTGAAGTGTCTTTAGGCCATTCCCTAAGGGGGGACATTTCTCATTCTAGTGCACAGTAGAATAGTAAATGGGCTGATCTAACATTGTCGTGCTCATAACTGTGCCTGAACTACAACAGGGAACTGCTGCTTTTTCTTTCCTAATCCTTACTATTGTCATTTTCATCTACTTCTTTTGTATGTTTGTCACACTCTTGTGACCCACTATTTCCGGGATGCCTTGATAGTCGAAGCAGACTTTGTGCTGCTGAAGCTAGAGAGGTGAGCAGAGTAAGTCTGATTCCCTGTAAGGACTTCTCTGTTGACATCCACCCCTTGGCGCTCATATGACCTAATGCTGTTGCGAGCAACGTAAAACCTCTACTAAAGACCTTGTTGAAGTAACCCACACTCCTAAATAAGCCAAACTGTGTTAATGCGGACACTGAACATCTATAATTCCGATTCCGACAGACAGTATAACGGGGGGCTCTCGTGGTCCAGAGGTTACAGTGTTCACCTCTCATTCAATAGGTTCTGGGTTGGAAACTTGACAGCGATGGAAAATTTTCTTTTCTAAAATGTTCTCCTTTCGTGCTCTCTAACCGTGTTATATGTCATCTGCTTTTGTCTCTACTTTCTACAGCCTTTTTACCACTACTACTTGGCTCTTTACCGCTGTCTTTCAGCCACACCGCTGATCTTAGGGTAAATAAGATCTAATCCTTCTTGGATACGGGTGAAAAATCTCGGTCCCGTGTGCAAGTTGCGCACGTTTGATATCCCCTGGTGGTCCAAAATTGATCAGAGTAAGCTTTGGCCGCCACTTGGGCAAAATTCAAAATTAATTCTTAACATACTTAAAATGTTTAACTCATTCGCTACGCATTATTTCGGCTTGTGGAAGAATTTTTTTCGGGAGGGCGAAATGAGATGATGACTAGTGGGCAGTTAAAAGGTATTTGTGGCGGCAAATTCAAATAAATATCAACGTATTATATACCAATATTTTCAGTGTGGTTTGTAGAATACATCTGTAATGTTTATTTATGTATTTTTCAACTTTGGTTCCTGTAAGAGGCCATCATGCAACACAATTTTGATTGGATGCGGATAGAATTTGAAAATAAAAAATTAATAATCTTTGGTGAAACTCAAAAAATATGTTTGCACCTAGTCAAATGATACATAAAAATAGCCATAAATGAATATAGAACTGGAAAATATTGAAAAGTTTGCAGTTATTTACATACATTCCATAATATTTGTACATTTGTATCATAACATCCGATATTGAAAAGAAAAAAATTTATAATCTTGAAAAATGATCACAAACAGAAAAAAACCCCACTCGTGTCTTATATGGAATTATTCAGAATTGCATTTGGAATATACATATCTTGAGTGGCACTTTTTGTGTAAATTCATCAAAAAGTAGTGATTTTGGGGAGAAAAAAATATTTTGACAATTTAGATCTAGACCTAGATCTAGCACTCAAAAATATTGATTTCTCAATAACAGTGCATTGGCAATATGAGTCCAATCGTTATATTTATGACCTTTATTTTAACATGGATATGTGGATTGGAATAGAATCTAAGCTAAAATTGAAGATTGGTTCTCGAGCCGCTGGGGGCGGCTTAGCATACTGACGTGTCCCACACGCTTATTTTACCTTACAAATTTGCATGCGCCATAAAACACTTACCAAAACAAATATACAAGACAGTATCTAAGAAATTCAGCTTCCTAAATGGTTTAAGTTCTGTTCATGGGAGCCTAAAAGATTTACAATTATTACAATCACAGGTTGGAGCTATACATTCAGAATCTGCAGCACACACTGGACAGTTGGGAGATCGACCGCGAGGTACATGAGGAGGAGATGACTGAGGTGAGAGAACACTTGTTTGAGAGCGAGAAACGTGAGAAGGTGATGAAGAAAGAGCTGGTCGCCCTCAGGACTGTCAAGGCTACCACACAGGAGGAGAAGAGCCTGCTGGAGGTAAGGAGAGCAAAGATGCTACAGGAGTAGTGGATTATATAGTTGAACGCAATACAGTCATGTTTTATGCGATGTAATTACCCTTTTTTTAACTAAACAAGTAACTGTTTTTACCATACCAATATCTAGAAACTTGAAAGAAAGGACATAAGCAATTGCGCAATATCCGTGGCGATGTTTAAATATAAGATTTTTTGTTTGTTATTTTCTAAGTGACAATTTTTCTGCTGAATTGCAGTTTTGGTGAGTCATAGCTAAAAAGAGAAAAAGCTGCTATGTAAAAGGCTAGCAAAATGCTGCTACCCTGCACGATTGCTGTAGGTTCATTCTGTTAATCAATATAATCATTTGCAAGCTGCTCAATTGTTCTAAGACCTGAAAGCAAAATTTTTTAGGAGAGAGAATGAAACTTTCATTCTTTTACAATAGTTGTGCTGAAATTGTGTATCTCTCTTGCTTTTTTTCAACGTTTAGAATTTGAATTTAAACAAATTATTCCTTGAGCACAATATCTAATTTCTTTTACATACAGAGTTAAAAAAACTTTACGATTTCATTCTGGAATTCCTAGAAGCAGTGCTCTACATGCCCTCCTTTGGACTCGACACATTTTTAATGCTTTGTTCGAAATGTTCGATGGCGCCCAGACACAATGACCTGCTAAACCATGAGTGTTTGATGCCACGTACACTATACATATTCAGAATTAAGTGGCGTCTATAGACAATAGGGAGTAGGGTGCCCAATAAACAGCATTTTTGAAGTTAACAAATCCCGCAGGGTGGAATATGGGCTTTGCATTAAACCAAATGTCATCGAGGAAATGATCCCGCTTTTCAAGACTATCAAGGAATCAAGAACACATTGCCATGCTCTGATCCATGTCATCTCGGCCTAGCGAAGATGAAAATTGGTACTGTTGTATGTTAAGATCTGCCATGAGAATGCAGACTGTTAAGGTGTGGGAAAGTCTTAGCTGCAGATTGTATACTGACAGACATCTCATGGGGCTCGGCTACTGAAATCTGCTCCGTAGTGACGTTAAAAGAGCTGCGCATGGTGCGTGTTCGATCTGAAGTGCTCGCTTTAAAAAAATTTAGTTCTGATTCGCTATAGATCCAAACTGACGGAACTTCTCTACTCATGACACCCAAAGGTCTTGAGGGCACATAAACATTCTTTCCATTCCGTGCGCAGAACTTACGAAATGTCAGGGATGGTGAGTTTGTGGAGAGGTTATGTTCAACACAAAAAAATCTCTCTGCTCTTTACTAAACTTAAACATGATCTCCAGCAGGCAAACGAAATTTGGGAAGATAAAATCTTAAAACTTCTGTAGACTTGTTGGACTGCTGAAGCTTGCATTATGGAGCGATTGTTGCAACTTTTAGTGGTATGCCTAATGCTAACTAGCGCGTCGTGCTAGAAAAAAGGGACATGGTTGAAAATGGGTTGTTTTTAATATAAATGCGCCATATAGAGCAAAACCATTCAATGGACTGGTCTAAAATGAATATCAGACAAATTCCTTTTGGCTTCCAAACATTATGTTCAAATTTGAAACGCAAAACTTCAGTATGGAGGAAGATATCTACAAAACAAGTTGTACTTTTTTGGGGGGGATCGCCCTGTATTTGGCTTTGCTCATACAATCCAACGAATTGTCTCAGGAGCTACAAAACACAAACCAGTTCCTGGAAGCAGAGAAACAGCTGTACCTGGACTCCATCACAGACTTCCGGACCAAGCTGGAGGCAGAGACAGAGCTTGCGGCCAGCAGCAGAAAGCTCATAGAAGCCTTGGAGTCCAACAACACCGAGCTTCAGAACTCGAACAAACAGCTGCAGTAAGTCCAGGAGGGGAAGTGTACACACACTTTATCAATAGTGTTGCGAGTAAATAGGGCAGGTCCATGACAGTTCGTCTTTCAGAAGGTGCCTGAAGAAATATGTAAATAAAGTAAGAATAAATACTTTGTCACCAGGTTTTGCACATGTGTATTAGCACACCTTATGGTAGATCCAATGAAGAATTAAGGGTGTTGCAAAAACAACAACAACAGGGGAAAGCACTGGCTTTTGCTGGTTTGCGCCAATGATAGTACATAACAAGATGGGCCACTCAGCCAAAAAAGTGTCCGCAGGAAGTATGCTCTTTGCTTCAGATGGCGCTGCAGTCTGTTTTGAAGCTCTCTTTCGTTTTTCCAGAAGAAGAATAGGAATAGCACCTCCTTGCGTGCGCAGATCGACTGCTGTTCATCAGCAGTTCGGGTTCGTTCAGTGTGGAGTTTTAGTTTTTTTTTATTTTAATGACCTCTCGCCTTTCATTCTAAAGTCAAATCAAACGAAGAAAACCATAACCCTTTCCTCCGGAAGAGGTTTTTTGTCAGCGTAACCATTTTAAAAAAGCGTTCTTCCGAAATTTATTTCAAAACATGTAAGTTTCACTTTGATTTTTAAAAACTCAAGTAGGGTAACTCTGTTCATAAAGAGGGCGCCACCAAATTTTGAGGACACTTTTTTAATTGGCTCAAAGAGAGAAGTGGCCCATCTTGTTATGTACTATCATTGTTTGCGCCCAACAATTTTGTCGTGTTGGAGGAACAATCGTATAGCACGAGTCATTTTTTGTTGTTTTGAATACACTTTTAGAAGTAATGCCCATGTAAGTCAACCTCATGACTTGAGCAAAAGTGCCTCTGTAGATTTTCAGTGCTTCCACTCTTCTGTATTTTTACGGAAATCCGTACTTTCTGCCAGTTTCGTACTTGTTCCTCCATCACTATCAACTCCCTCCGTAAAAAGCTGCGACAGCGTAAGACTACTGAAATTCTGTAGCAAAAGATCCGTACTCGCCTTCGTATCATCTAGTAGGCCTACTAGTATAAGTTACAGATATTTTCAGTAATTCTCTCGGCAATAAGTTTATGTTATAGATACTTGCCAGATTGCGCATTTCCTGCATTATTCCGCTATGCCCCATGCATTCATTGCGGGCTTGTCGGCTGTACATTTTTGCCTGTGGATTGATCAAAATCTGGCGAACTTTTTGTGCCAATTTCCTCCTTTCTATCATTCTCTCATTGTGTCTGTCTATCCTCGTATTGTTGCCGCAGATGGAAAATCTGCGCGTTGATCAAGTGAATTGACTTGTGATCTTAGACAGAAAATTACTGCCGGAAAGAAACTTTTTTACAAATTTTTCTAGATCTAGAGAAATATGATCAATATGAAGATTCTACGGCACGGGAACGCGATGAAAGAAATTTATGCTAAAACCTACCTAAATCTACAAAAGTCAAGAATAATTCGAAGTTGTGTTCTGAGGTTGTGACATGCATGCTGAAATTTAAGGAAAATTAGGGTATACGCCGGGTAACTGTATTGTGAAAGTTCATATATCTATTCATTATTCCCAGGTTTGCCTTTTATCAATGGTGCGATGACAAATTAATTGAATTATAGTAGCAATGGAAGGGGAACCTGCTTTTAAACATTGCCATCAATGGAAATATATTATGTAGATCTAGATTTCTAGATCTTGATGAAGAAATCAAACAAGACAAAATGTTGGTGAAAAAATAAATGTTATGGTTTGCAGGCAATCTCTTTGAACAGGCTCCCAAATTCCATTTTCAACCCTCTAAAAGCACTAAATTTCAATTTCTTCGGGGGCTTCGACACTGTCCCTGGACTGTGGCTGAATTTTCCTTACTTTTAAGCTTCAGCTGGAGGAAGCCAGTTTTTTATTACTTGAAACACTGCCCTGCAATGTGGATAGTATGAAATGTAATAACCTGTAAACATTTTTTACATCACTAATGACTAAAAACCTCAAAAGATAATTACGTATGCAGTAAATGACCGTCATTTTGTAGATGTGTCTCTCATTACTCAAACTAACAACAAAACTAATCGTTTGCGCTTCTTTTTTTTTTTTTTTGGTCAGGTCTGATCTGACACTGGCAGAGGAAGAGTTGACATCGAGGAGCTCAGATGCTGAAGCGAGTCTTTCCTTGATTGACAACTTGGAGCAGAAGATGGACTCCGTCCTGTCTGCTGTGCAGAAAAAGTTTGGCATTGATGTGAGTTTATTTGTGTGGCATCAAGATGAGTCTCATGTCGCATTTTGACAGTACAATACTGCGGGTATTGAATTTAACAATCTGTTCAAGTCCTTCTGGTGGATGGAAACAGAATGTCTTGCTATTTTGGTTCTTAAGTTTTAGTCACTTGAAATTGGTTAGTCAGAAACATAGTTTTAAGGAAATCAAGGTCATGCCCAATACTTCTTAACATCTGAGCTATTCTCTTTTGCTGAAGATGCCATCAATAGGTCCTACTTCTTTCCTGTTGTCTGGATGTTTCTGTCCATCTGTTTTATTTTTTTCTCTTGCACTAAGTGACTGTTATTGTGAAGACGTTTCTTTTTACTCAGACTCAGTGAGTGGTTAGTAGAGGGTACCACCAGTAGGTCCTACTTCTTTAGTCTCTGTCTGTCTGTCTTTCTGTTTCCCAGCACTAAATAACCTTTAACGTGAAGATATGCTTCTCTTTCCTCAAAAACTCATTCTCCGTTGTTTCTAACATTTTCTTCTTTTCTTTCTCTCTGTTATTTATATTTATCATGCTTTTTCTCTGTACTAAATGATTGCAGCTGTGCCGATATGATTCTCATTACTCAAACAAAATAAACTGAATGACTAAGTTCTTCTTCTTGTCAATCTTTAAATAAACTTCCCAGCCTCTAGTGGGAAGGCTGATGTTTGCCACAAGTCTCCGGGTTCCTGTAGAGTTTAGGGTCTCCTTGCGTTGGGTTGGGCCAATATTTCCTTTTAAGTCAGTGCTGCATGTGCATTGAGTAGGCTTGTATAAAGTTGTTTGCTGTTTGGCTGCTGGTTCTGCGATGACACTGCTTTGAGCTGTTGATCCTGAACTTAGTACTGCCATTGTCATTGATATATTTTTTTTTACTCACCTCCATTCTCTGTTTTGTTTGTCTATCAGGTGAAAGTGGAGTTGGCAAAGGACCGAGTGTTTGCGAACAGACGCAGTGGCAGTGCCAATGGGGACAGACGTTCTCTTGTCTCTGCTGTGTTGTCTCGAGCGGCATCATCTGCACCATCGCCCTCAGCATATAAGGCCACGCCCTCTCCTCGTCTCAAACAAAGCAACGTTGAGTTTGGTGCATCGCTGGGCAGGAGAAATGGGAAAGAGGCTGCGGCAATGATTTCCTCTTCGCATAGTCAGAGTTTCTGCGGTGCTGCTGAGAATTCTAGATTGGATATCAGCACACAGAAGTCTCAAAGCTTCAGTGAGCCATTTGATTCAGTAATGAATAGGCTGTTTTCAAACAGATCAAACAATGACAGTCTACAGCTCCCGGGCAGTGCGAAAAAGGAAAGCTCATTGTCGCCCGATGAAATCGATAAGTCTGTAGCTGGCTTTGCCAGGATCCGCAGCATTCCGTCCACGTTAGATCGCAGTCTGGAAACTTCCAGAAGAATCAACACCACAGCAGGTTCTTCTAGCAGTTTCCTGGGCCTCTCAGACAGCGCAGACTCGCAGCCAGTGTTGGAGAAAGTAGGTCTTCCTCTTGCTGGTGCTCTATAAGAACCCTCCTCTTTTTATGCAATTGATTTGGGGGAGAGGGCTGTGCTATTTCATGTTTTCAGCTATCTGGGTTTTGTTTTAATTTTTGTTGGATTTTGTTTGTTTGTTTGTTGTTGATGTTTTTTTTTGGGGGGGGTGTTAATAGTTATTTCTCTTTCTTTTTCTTCATACTTGTTTGGAAAAGGTACATAACAATTTTCTCGATTCGTTTTCCTTCTTTATTTTCTTGTTTTCCATCCGGTTTTGAGAAGTTTCATTGTTTCACAGGTTTCATGAATTAAGTTTCCAATTTAGTTGTAGAATTTGCTTTGTGTAGTGGGGCTAGAGCGAAAGATTTTGTCACTTTGTTAGTGCTTGAGCACATGTAATCCGCAGCTTGCACTGTATGCTTCTCGGGAAGGTGAGAATATTTCTGAGCATGTTTTTTTAGTTTCTGCTGGGGTTATGGTACTTGTTAAGCGCATAGAATGTGCTGTTGCGCATGGATGTTCACTATATATATAAATACAGTTATTATTATCATAATCATCATTATGACTGTTTGGTGATGGTCATGACACTATTCCCTTAGTAATTCTTTATTTTGAGAAAACTTTTTTAAAAAACAACCCAGTGCTAACCTTAGTGAGAATTATGACTTGAACAAAGGGAAGATGTCTCAATAGTTGAATTTTTTATGCACGAAAAAAACCATGCCATAGTAAAGCTATGAAACATATGCATGTCTTTTAACCATACCAATTTCTAGAAACCTGGAAAAAATGTATTTGCATAGTTGTGTTAAACGATGAGTCTATCACTTTATTGACAGTGCCTTGATGTTTATGTGCCAAAGCAAATTAATGAAGAGACAACAACTTTTAGGTATTGTGGACCAGTGTGTATGCTGTAAAGATTAGGCTGAGGTGTACATTGATTCCTTAGTTGGGACGCTTTTTAGTGACTGTATCTGTCAGTCTGTGAGATGGGATGCTTTATGATTTTATCCCACTCAGTCTAGGCTGGCCCTCTCAGACAGGGGGGACATTGACTTGTTCTTATGCACAGTAGAATTGTAAATGGGCTGATTCGTGGGTGGTTGGCGGGTGCTCTGGTGTGGTTTGCTCCTGCTTTCCTATCAAACAACTATCGTCTTTATCTCTCCATCCCCTTTCTTATTTATGTTTGTTACTCTCTTGTAACACCTCTAATCTTCGGCACTTATATGACCTAATTGTGTTGCAAGTGTTGTAATACACTTACTAAAACAAATGGCCTGATTCATCAATGTCATGCTCATAAATGTGCCTGAACTGCAACGTGGAACTGCTGCTTTTTCTTTCCTACTACCGTGATTTTTCCTCTACTTCTTTTGTATGTTTGTCACACTCTAGTGACCCGCTATTTCCGGGGTGCCTTGATAGTCGAAGCAGACTTTGAACTGTTGAAGCTAGAGAGGTGAGCAGAGTAAGCCTGATTCCCTGTATGGACTTCTCTGTTGACGTCCACCCCTTGGCGCTCATATGACCTTATGCAGTTGCGAGCACCGTAAAAACTCTTCTAAAACTAAAGACATGGTCGACTCATAGCTAGCCTCATTGAGTCGTACGCAGGAGATGTCAGTTCAATTTTTGTTTGGGGAAGATTCTTATTGAGTATCTCCGTGTTTCTGCTGGGGCGTTATATTCTCCTCAGCCCCAGTTGGCCCAGAATAGCAGGGTTAGATAGAAACAGCCCACCTCCTTTACTTTTATCCACCACTTATACACTTTTGGGTATGCATGGTCCTACATGGTCTAAATCCTATTACTCTTTTTTATGTACAGGTAAAGTCCATAGACAGAATCTTCACTATGATCTTGAAGGCCATGAACATGGCAGAGAGGGCATCCGAGCTGACGATTCGGGACTTGAGAGAAGACTTGTAAGTCATTTGCGCTTAAGAACGAGATTATGTGGATGGTTGGAGGGTGCCAACGGTAGGTTCTTTCTCTTTTCTTTCTCCTGTGTTGTTTGTCTCTCTTACTTTAACCACTGTGTGAAGTGACTGTTATTTTGGCGAAGCGCCTTTTTTTAAAGACTGATTTCATGAGAAGTGGTTTCCTTTCTGGTGTGCATTGACAGTACATTATAGTAGTATAATAATAACCGGGGGAGATGGCTGGAGGGTGCCAATGGTAAATAGTAGGTAGCGTAAACACGGGCTCTCACTGCCTTCCGAGCGCGCCGTATCGGTGAAGTCGGGGTAATTCAAATCGCTGTTTCTTTGCTCTTTCGCAATAAAACTCCAAATGCCATACACCTTGTAAAAGTTCAGCTTTTCCTCCTTACAATGGTTTAAGTTGTTTTCTTGTCCGATTATTAGGAGCTGGAGAATCCCAGAAGAAAGCGAAGCCCCTCGCAGTCGGAATGCGTAGTCGGCCGGTTCAAAAATTGACACGCCTGCCTTCAAATGCTTCGCAGAAAGATTGATGATAATATACCGTCTTTTCATTAGCGGGGAACTGTAGTGCTTTAACTCACTGAGCACCGCTCCCGCAGCATACGCGGTCCGGTAAAATTCGCGTCGTGGACCGCGACCGCAGCATACGCGGGTTCAACTATATTTGACTTAAGTGAGCCAAGCAGTTAAAAAATGCTTGCAAATAGCCCCAGTTTTTTAGGCAGGATATTGACAAGCTAGTTCTTGTGGTTTGTGTATATTCACCAATTTTATTGCGAATAAACGGGTTATTTGTCCAACGGACTGAACAACTGAAAGTAAGGAACTCCCGCGCAGTTCGTTGTTGTTTCTCGTACGCGAAGCACGGCGCTGCGAGTTGTGTCGAAGTTTATTGAAACTCTCGATAATTTTGGTAAAGATTTGAGTGACAGTGAAGTATCTGATAGATAACTTCATAAAATCAAAATGTGAATTCGTCTAGCAGTGATGAAGATGACTGAGGAAATGACATTAGATCTAGGTCTAGACCAACATCGTCTCTCGATCTTGAATCTGATTCGTCAGCGAGTACGGAGCCTGATCCGGCTGGGATAGATCTAGATCCAGCCCCAGTACTAAATTCTAGTTCAAATCAGCCCTCTAGGTGGAGAAGATATTATAATGTACTCAAACCTGGGACATCTATTGACAGATCTAGTCCTAGCTCTGGCAGCACTGACAATGAAAACAGTTCTCCGCCTGTCACCGAGGAAGATCTGGATCTAGACTCTAGATTTTTTGATTTTTCAAAATAAATTATCACTTGCATTTTTATGCTATTTCACTGTACACTCATGCTTCATTCTCCTACACACAAGCACACGCTGCCACAACTATTTTGTGTAAGTTTATTAGATTTCTGCTTTGTCACATCACTTCCTTTTTTTTCAACTTTTTTTTTCTCAGTCAAATTTGTCCCAACTTTCTGTCCCATACATTTTTTGGTCATTCATTCTTCACAAAATATGTTTATTGTGTCTGTTGAACACACATCTTATTAAATAGCACAGAACATTTCAAAGAAATAGCATTTCATTTCAATTTTTTAATGAATTTTCAAAAAGTGAGGGAAATGGGTGGTCCTCTGGGGCTTGGAGGCAAATTGGGGCGTGGTGCTCAGTGAGTTAAACAGGCTTTCCTGTGGTATATTTTTATGGTTTGGCGTTTAAATAGAAAGCCTTTAAAAATACCGTCTAAATGTTCAAAGATCATTTTTTTTACACGAAATAATATAAAATACCGACTCAAAAAAGGTAGCCTACCAATAGAAAGATCAGTTCATTTCCTATTAAAATAAAGTAAACAGCTTGGAATAATTTAACATCGATTTTTCCGCGAAACTCAGCAAGCATGTGACTCCCCACGCGGGGTACACTACAGTATAGAGCCGACTCGCTCGCCGCGAGGGGCGGTGCGGCGCCGGCCGGGTCAACGCTCGGTGTTTTTGTCTAAATAATGACAGATCATCGTGTTTGATGCGATAAAATACTGATTTTTAATGATCTCACAGTCTTGAAAAAAATTAGGCTCCGTACATATGTTATAGTGATTGTACTTTGTTAATGTGGAGATGTTTAGTGCACTTGGTACTCTTTTATTGTCTGTCAAACATGGGGTTGCAGCCGGTGACTGACTTTAACAAATTTGATCAAATTTTAAACAACTAACATTTTCTTAAAAATTGACTGAGAGGTTAAAGAATGGTACCAAAAAGCTCAGGGAATATAGGTCTTTCATATGGAACAGATAAATTTGGCATACAGCTACTTTGAAAATTTAGTTTCTTGTACATACGTCCTATGTTACTTTCCCTCCGCTGTTTCTATGTTACTTTTCCCCTGCACTATCCACGCATTTGTATCACAAGAGAAAAGAGAGCGAGGATTACTGTCATTCTTGTGTTGTATTTATAACTTTATACAGTATCCTACCCTATTTCTGTCAGCATTGTTCCAAAAATCTAGGTAGATCCTTCTTCTTCACTTCTTGTCTTTCTTTCTGATTTTTCTGTCTATCTTGCTTTATCCCTCCAACACTAAATGATCGTTCTTGTGTTGATGTTGATGCACGTCTCTTACTCATACAACAGGGAGTTATTAAGAGGATCCCACCAGTTGGTCCAGTCCTTTTTTCTTTTCCTATGTCGTTTACATCTGTCTGTCTTACTCTTTCTTTGCGCTAAATGACTATATTATTGTGTGGATGTGCTTCTCTTTACTCAAATAAAGTGGATGGTGTTGAGGGAGCTACTGGTTGGTCTACTTCTTTTCTTTCCTCCTGTTGTATCTTATTCTTTCCCAACACTAAATGACTGTTATTGCATCAATGTGCTTCCCTCTTTACTCGAACAACCAAGCGAACAAACTCAAAATTGCAGGCAAGCGTTTAAAAAAAATCTTACTTCTTCTCAGCCTTGATTTTTTGGGGATATTTTTTTCCATTCTACAGAGAAGTTTTGCGAAACAAACTGAGGTTCACAGAGTCTGAGGAGCAGAAAAAGTCAGAACAGCTGACGGAGGTGAACGCACAAGTCAAAGAACTGAACGCTCGGGTTGTGGGCATGACAAACTCCATGATGAATTTCCAAGACCAAAGTTATAAAATAAACGTGAGTGGTTCAGAATTGTCATTTTTTATGAACTGAAGGGGTATTGATTGGGCTGTTAACAATTTAAGATTTTTTTTTGGGGGGGGGGGGGGACTGGATAATTTTCATATATATGAAACCTTACTTCGGTTCTTTTATTATGTAAATGAAAATATGTACTTTTTTTGTATTCACGAAGTGTTACAACCACCTGAGTGTTACTTTATTTTTTATGTATCTCGAGGGACTGATATAATCCTAGATGTGTGATGTAGTCTGTCATAACAGAATTGCTGAGGCCTTTTTTGTTGTTTTAGAAACCTTTTTTTTTAACCCAGTGTTTATGTGGCCCATCCCTATGGCTCAAGCAAAAGTGATACTGTCTTAGATTGTCATGACATGAAACGAAACCCCACACTACTGAGGAAAACAAAACAAGTAAAAGGCATCTTTTCCATATATCGATAGCTAAAAAACTGACCAAAAAAAAAACTTAATCAATTGAAGACCTTAAGCCTTAAGGGGTTCAGAATGGTCATTTTATATGAACTCAAGGGGGATTTGGTTGTTTACAATTGGAACAATTTTTTGAAAAAATGAAAAGTTCCGTATAATGTGAAACCTTATAATGAAACGGTATTATCACTTGAAAAATATTGAGGACTACTACTGCCTGTCTTTGATGTGATGGTATGGACTAGTTTTAGGTACCGTATGTGACTACAACTGCTTCTGATAAGAAATGGTAATTTGATGGACAAAATGGGACAGTCAGAAAACAAACAAAATATCAAAGCATGAATGCAAAGATTGAAAATTGTGACTTACTTCATTTTCCCCCTGTACACTTTGTGTCACAGGGGTGTCGATTTTCCAGATAAATCCTGATTTCTGAACTTGTCCAGACTTTGCAATACTCCTGCTTATACATTTATTTATATTTTAATTTCTTTTTGCATGTCTTATTGCACATTATATTATAAGAATAGTCTTAATACAAAATGCACCTAGACAATATGATCCGTAAATCTTGAGTCCCTTCATGCACCTTTCCATGGGGTTGAACAGTTCAGGATGTTTTTTCATCACCAGTTGGTACCTTTGGTGCTGTTATGACCATTTGTAGAAACTGTTGTGACCCTGGTTTAGAATTGGTTTGTGTCCAGGAACTGTTGTGACCACCTATGTGTAATTTTATTATTTTTTAAAAAAATAATTTTTTTTAAAATGATATGTGCAGGAACTTGAAGAAGAGAAGGAGGACTTGACGCTGAAACTCCGCCACCTGGAAGGGGAGAAAACTCTGCTGTCTAATCAGCTGGAAGAGGTCATTGCTAAGATGGACTCAGGTACAGCAGGCAAGCGGCCGGACGGCACACACATGCGGGAAATAGTCGCTTTGAAAAAGAAGGTAAATTTTTCGGATTTGTCTCGTATAAAAAAGGTTGCAGATTTTACTGGTGGATGGAGAGTGTCACTCAGTCCTGCTTTTTTTTTCTTTCCCTCTCTTGTTTCTGACTGTTTAAATTTTGCTGAAAGTTTTTAATCCCTGACGTGACTTAAACAATAAGTTTTTTGGTTTTGGGGGTTCCCCCCCCCCCCCCCCCCAGTCGTATAAAAACTGGTTATGCTCTATTGCCAAAGGACACTAAATAATTTATTAGTATTTATTAGGAAAACACAATTAACATCTGTCATTTATTTGATATTGTACAATAGTCTACATATCAACAAAGGTGGTTCGAACGTGTCACTGTTAGTGATAGATCCCATTTCTTTCTTCACTCCCCCTCCCCTGTTTCCGTCTGTCTGTCTTGCTTTTTTCCTCCCATCAGTAAATGACTATCATTGTGTCTATGTGCTTCTTTGTACACAAAAATCTCCAACTGTTATCTTCTGAAGTACACTTAGGGTGTATCCTTTTTTTCACCATCCGCCAAAACCTGCTGACAGCCATGGTTCCATGCCATTGCTTTGATCTTTTCAGATTTCCGTAAATTATAATGATGTAAGACATTGACGATTACAACTATTTTTCAGATCTATGAGCTGCAAGTGTCGTCGGCTGATGAGCTGATACGCAACAGAGAACTTGGGGAAAAGGCAATGAAAAGGGTGAGTTTAACGAATGAGACGATGTAACCTTTCCTCTTATAATAATAATAATAATAGATAGCATTTGTATAGCGCATATCCCCGCTCAACAGCAGGCTCTATGCGCTTTACACTATATTATTACCCCAGCAGACCATAGAACACTCCGAAACATTCTCAGCTTTCCGGGAAGCATACATAAACTTATGCTTTACTTGCAAATCATTTTGCTTCTTTTTATCCTAAGCATGCCTTGTACTAGATTAGGGTTTCTACACCAAATGTTCAGGAATTTTGGGTGGGCCTTTCCAAGTGTTGTCATTAATTAATTTTTTTTAAATTCCTTAGATTTTGATATGGCAATTTAAAGATTATAAATGTAGTTTTATAACATATCACTTTTGTCTTGGTATTTAAGACCAGTGGTCATTCCAGAGAATCTCCATTTGACGTAGTCTGATACATTTAACAATGGCGCTGGTCAGTGTACACTACATTAAATTGACCTCTATATTGCTGCATTAAATTTGACACGGAAGCCCATTAGGACTTATCACATTTCTTTCACTTTACAGACAAAAGATACAACAATGTCTTCTGATTGACCGTTCTCATCCAAATTATCAAATGATGACCTGCAAAAAATTGTTTGATTTTGGAGGATTTGAGCAAAATGGTAGCTTTTGCTCTTTTTGATAAAATTGAAGGCAAACAACAGATGGGTGAGGGGGAAAGATCAGGATAATGTAGCTTTTTTTAAGAGCATTCAAGGAAATGAATGAATAACGAATCATGATCGCCGATGTATGTCGCAGATCTGGTACGTAATGATGGTAGCCTTTGCCCCTCGATCATCGATGCTGTAAATCCTGGTCACCCTCAAATGTATCAAACATCAAATGGAGATTTTTAATAAATCTTTTTTTTTTCCTCAATGTGCACTGGGTATAAGGACACGATTATGTTGTGATAAATAGTTACCCTTTGTTTCCGTGGTGATGAATGCTACTTAAGCGTTTAAATAAATGATTTTCTTTTCCTTCATAGATGAAGATCTTGGAGAATAATTGGCAGAAGGCAGAGACGGATGTAGCTCGTTTTGATGAGCTTGTAGAGAATATTCGAAAGGTTGGTGAATTTTGCATTACGTGGCCATGAACCAAGTTTGAAAAATGTTTGAGCATGTGGCTGGAGGGTTCCTGAAAGTAGATTTCAAACTTGTAAATGACATCTCCTTACTTGCTTCTTGTGTATTTCATCCGAATTTTTTCAGTGTCTTTCACTGGTCAGCCGCAGGTTGATATGGCCTACTTTTTTTTCCACCTTCTGCTGTTTCTGTCAGACTGTTTTACTCTTTCAAGTACTTAATGACTGTTATTGTGCTGATGTGCCTCTCCTCACTCCAGGGTTCCCACTCAAGCGCGAAAAAGCCGGGAATTTCATTTTCAGATTTCCCAGTGGGGAAAACACCATGAAAATGAATGAAAACGAAAATATACGAGAGAAAGCCGGGAGATCAAAGTCAAAGGGCTACCAACAATCGTGAACTCGGTGGAATCGTTAAGGTTTTTAAACTTTTTTTTAAAAACTTTTCAATTCGACAAAAATACGATTGTAACACCCCGCTCCTGATTCCAATGTAAAGAAACATATTTGCCGTTTGGCTCTCCCAACTCATCCCCACCTTCCCGGCGTGTAAGTTAAGCAAAGTCAGACCCCGGCGGTCTGCGTCACTATGTCACGTGTAGCTAATTTTAACTCCCTCTATGCACTGAGCCCTAGTAGTCACTCAGTAACACTTTGCCCTTAGAAAAACATTAGCTGGGAGAAAGGCCAACATTAATTTGTGACAAGGTGTTAAAAAATTCTTGCGCCTATTCGTTGTGGATGATGGCCTAGGCAAATGAGAGAATCTTTTTTTTTTTTATTTAAAAACACGGATGCGTGGCATGTTGTGTAAATGTGTTCTGATGTGCAATTATTAATTAAGATAAAAGGCTTGTGGCACGTCCTGTCGGTTTCTTTTGTTTTTGCAAGAGTCAAGCTAAAAGCCAATAAAGTTAAACACACACCCACCCTCCCCCCCTCTTTGTTTTATGTTTCACTTATCCTATAACCCCAGTCCTTCACACTGACACACCAGGGAAAGGGACTGTCCATGGCCATGGTACGATTTTTACCTTGCATAATTTCTCTTTATTTTTACTTCCTAGCTCTGACATTCTTTTTTTTTAAAAATCACTTTTAAAATGGTTGACAAATCCTGGAGGGAACCAGGAAAAATACCGGGATATTTTTCTCCCCTAATGAGTGGGAGCCCTGTCACTCAGACACAAAGTAAATGTCACAGGTCATGCCCCGTATGTTGTTTTTTAATGGTTAGCCTTCTCCTTTACATGTAAAGGGGCTGATAGCTCTCAACACAACTAAGCTCAAGTGTAGCGTCTGTTCCTGACTTTTCCTCCGGTCTTGTGCCCCCTGGTAAGTGGGACTGACAATGCTGAAGCTGACGAGGCCTGGAGAAATCTAGGTCTTGATTACATCGAGTGGCTGGATTACCGTCCTCTTTTTAAAATAAAAAAAAAGCTCTCAACACAACAGTCCTATACTGCATGCCTCACTCCCTCTCTCTTTTCTCCTCTCTCTCTTCTCTTCTTTCTTTCTCTCTCTTCTTTTTCTTTCCCCCCCCCTCCCCCCCTCTCTTACAAACGCCATTGAAAATGAATCCTTCAGACTTCCTTATCACAAAAGCATGTCATTAAGCTCAAGAACATAAAGTCTGTTGTTTCTTATCTCAAAGTCAAGTCCTGAAGTTGCCTGTAGCCTACTTTCTTATCACAAAAATATCTCAAGGAGTCCGTCCTTTATCGCAAAAATTTCTCCTCAAGTATCTGTCTGGATGAGTGGAGGGCGCCACTGGTGAGCCTTGCTTCCTTTCTTTCCCTCTGCTGTTCTTTCTATCATTTTTTTTTTCCCCCTGCACTGAATGATCGTTATTATGTCTGTGTAAGTTTCCAGGCGGCGATTTGATGTTCAACTTACACCGACACCTTCATCTTTCCCTCTCGCTCCAGGTGTGTATCAAACACCAGTCCAGGAACACACACCCGGCCCTACTGGACATTGTCCGGTGGATAGATGGACGCCAGGGCCAGGACACACCCAGTCAGGCAAGATCCTACGGCCCCATGGAGACCAGTGCTGTTCGCAGAAAGCTCTAGATTGTTAGGTTGTGTCATCATTTCTTTATTTAATTCTCAACTGTTTCTGAAGGTGGGATTGACTGGAAGAGGATGTAATTTTTACCCTGCATTTATTTATCTTCTTTACTGGATGAAGGAGTGGACTAAGCGTAACTCATTTAAAGACCTCGAACCGAAAGGTGACGGGGTAAAGACCAGGATTATACAGATTTTTTAGGGCATCGAATGGGGCAATTTAGTGGCGAAGAAGAAACATTATCCGTATCACAATGCAGAAGGGCTAAATCAATTTGATCTTTTATAAAGACGCTGTTATGATGCCATAAGTTGCCAAAATATTAAATGAAGGATATACTATAACGAATAAGCCCC